ATATAGAAACGTATGGTCGGTCTTTGTCTCTCGGACAGTTTGTCTGACCACGTGTACGGTACTGCCGGCACTCTGTACAGTATTCGAGCGCTTAATAAATTTGTTTTATTAATTGGAATCTGCAATTATTTGATCAAGACCCCAAACTTTGTTACAAATATTATTCATAAAAAGTTCGAGAAAGGATGAAATTAAGACAAGTCGGAATATTTTTTGAATTTGTCATATGTAATATAGTTAGATGAAACAAATAAATTGTTAACTAATCTGTATTTTTACTTAGCATAAAGAAATTGTAATATATATAACATTAAATACAAGTTTCTGTAAGGTTAGAAATACTGTATTGTCTAATAATGTTAAAAAAAACTTAATTTGCAATTTACATTTGTTGTTTTTGATTATTTTATTGTTATAGTAAATGTACAAAAAAGCTTACAAAAATACAAAACAGATAAAAGTTACTTCTTGATGTTTAAAAATGTCTCAGCATTAAAATCTTTGATATCACGTAATTTAATGTTAAAATTATTGCAAAATTTTCAATTATTGTCAATACACACAAGAGCTAGTGAAATTATAAATAAGTGCCTTTTATCAAGTTTTAGATGAAATATCTATAACAATTATATAATGTCTGCCCGCTCTCACAACAACAACAACACGAAGTTTAGGCTAATCGATCAACATTACCGATTTTAGTAGGTTGACATTATTTAGCGTGTTGTACAATCTGGATATTTAGTGGCACGTGGCGCGACACACAATCCTCAGAAAAACACCACACAAAAGTACCAGTGCTGCCAGTTAAAAAACACACACCATCAAAAAAAAATATTACAGTAGTCCAAGATATAGCCAAAGATTGCAGCGCCACAGCACTAGCGAAAATTTAAATTTGCCGACTTGAATGCTTTCGGATAAACGACGCTCTACTGTATTTTAAATAGCCTACACCGGGATTGACAACCTTTTTATTACTAAGGGAGCAATAAAAAAATTTTTTTTGTTTGACAAAACAACAAAACAAGAAATATTAGTTTCGAGGAAGTGGGGGGGGAGAGTGAGATTTCACGATATATGGCTCTAGTCACCTATCGTGACAATATAGTCACAATATTCATTATTCAAACTGATACTAAATTGATACGACTGTGCTGTGTATCTGTGTGTCAATTACTACACTAATTTTTCTTCTAGGGAGGGGCAGCTGCCCTCCCTGCCCCTCTCTGCCCCTCTCTGGGTACGCCTTTGCACTTAGGAGTGAACGGATCAACCATTCGGGAAAGCATTTCTCGGTAGCTTATTTAACCGTTCGGTTAAGGAGTTAAGCGTTTTTCGAGTTTTTGGACAACATCAAAAGATTTAATTAATTCGACGATTCTATGTGATAACACCAAAGAAATATCGTATGGATAGTTTATTATGGGACACCAATTAACCAATCCACAAAATCTTGATTTTTAGCCGAACCTCCATAACCCGAAACTTTTAAATCGAAGTCCGAAATTTTTTTCTTGACCGATTCTACTTTAACCAGGTTCAACTGTATATTAAAGAAACGCAACGACCAATTTGTTACGAAAATTTTTCGCAAATAGTCTTAGTTTACATGGTTTCGGTTAAGGTTATCGGCGGATCTGTGGAGATGCCCGTTTGCTCGATTTTTCATGTACAGTCTAAACACATCCATGCACGGAACTGGCTAGTGTCGTCTAAAAAACGAACGTATCGGTGCGCGGCAGTTGTAAACGGTAAGTAGCGAGAAAACCTGCAAGTGCGATGCTTAGCCACTGCTCTCGAAAGCAAACATCAGAAAGCGGTAGTTGACATTTTGAACAAGTCCGGATCCGTACGTTGCCGACAATATTCTCATTCCAAAGACAATTTCTTTTATCTTCCCCTAGGGCAAATTCTCTGGGATTACTTAGCATGCCCCGCATGGTTAAGAGAACTTTTTGACTGTCAATATGCTTTTTATAAGAGAACAAACATACCAATAATAACTTATTTTCATGTGTAAACTCTTTTATCGTTTGTGTTTGCTTTTACATTGGCAGCTAGCGGTTAGCCGTTTTAAGTCAATGTCATGCTTGTGGGAACTCGATCGCTTGCTCGTGTGGAGGTTTGCCGCAGCAAAAAAGTGTGCACGCCTGACGTCATTCGAAGCATTTAACGTGACCAGATTGTATCGAAAGCTTGCGGTCCTCAGTCAGCATACATGTATTGTGTACAATACAGGGGCCCACAAAATATGAATTATTATCATAAATTTTTATGCTTTTTCATTATACAATAGACCACCGTGTAATACGGGTTCATATAGTTCGGATTCCTATATAACGGCGAAAAAATTGCGACAGTATTCGTACAAACACGCTAAAAAAACTAGTATAATTCGGTAAAACGTCATCGCCGACTCGTGTCGCGACAGAATTGGTCGAATCTAGCCCAATAGCGGATATTGCACAAACCGTTGAGTTTAAACGAGCAGCGGACCTATTAAAAACCATTCATTATTTAACGTCTATAAAAATTATATTTATATTAATAATGTCTCCAAAGTTCAGAGAATTTTTCGCAAAAAAAAAAATAATTTATCAGGAAGCACGCGAGCACCATTCCATGACAAGCTCCACGACGAAAACAAGCTTAAGCAATGGCGTAGTCGAACGGTGCACACTCGGTAAGTAATCCTACAACTTTTTGTTTATAGCATAGTTTATATGGATTATTCCCAAAAAATTATACATATTTTGGAAATGTTGAGTCAAATTAGTCTAGAATCGATTAAATAATTTTATGGAAAACAACCTTTCAAGCAGCCATAGTCCGTAAACTGTATACGTGCCGGACTGTGATTGGCTCATGTATTTAAGGACTCGTAGAAAATGAAAATGAATTTTATAAAACCGAGTGGACTCCGTCTCCGCTTAATGGTGGTGACCAGACCCTAAACACCGGAGTTCGATCGGGGATTCGCGCCTCACTCAGACGAGCTGGCAGCGGGAGTTTTTTCCGGATTTTTCTCCTTGCCAATAACGCCTGAATAGGGTCCCTATTCAGGCGTCCGGGAGGACTTGGAGCTTCCCCCAAGTCCTCCCGGAAGGCATTCTATCTCCCTTTCTCGCGGGGGTCGTCTCTTATAAGCCCTGGCTTTGGTCACTTCATGACCTCTCTCCTGCCTTCTCGGATTGGTCATCTTCGATAAGACCGCCTCTTCGGTCGCTGTGCAATCGGCCCACTGTTTCTTCCGGAGTGAAAGGCTACGAGCTGCAGCACTCCTTTATTAAAGGTTGAAGTGAAGTGAAGTGAATTTCATAAAAACCGGAACGTATCTACCGTCTTATAGGGGGGTCGACTGTAATATATTTCATGTGTAGATATAATGGGCTTTATAATAGTCCATACTTTTTTAATCACACCAAATAACCTACTATTTAGTGCTAGAGATAGGCCTATTATTCTTATTATAACTTTCAGCATGCCCAAGAATTTTGGCCAGGATTCACCCTTGCTTTCCCCCGTTCCTCGAACGCGACCACAATTTGAAAAATTCTAAGTTTTACACCGAGACCGCATCGCTCAGCCGAAAACACGAAGATAATCGATCGCAACTGTGAAAACGTTACTTGGCAAGCAGACAATGAATGAATGCAAACGAGCCGTAAAGGCATTTTGAACGTCGGGGACGTAGCTCAGATGGTAGAGCGCTCGCTTTGCATGCGAGAGGTACCGAGATCGATACTCGGCGTCTCCATTTAATGGAGTTTTTTTTTTTTTGTTTTTGCTGTATGTTTCGTCACACGTGGAAACGTGGTACTCACGTATTGTACCGACTATGAATTTCGGACAGACATTTTGATGAACCAAAAAGTTTTAAAGTTGCAAAACGGAATTTTTTCCATCCAAGATGTATGACAGAGTGAAATTTTGTTTAAATTTCAAAGAGTATTATTTGATAACTTTAGCAAAAATTTGAAAAGTATTTCGAGAATTCGATCACATCGTTTTATCCAAACTGGATGTAATGAGAATGGGCAGACTATTTTAGAAAAATAATTAGATCGAAAGATTTTTGTTAAAGTTAATATAAACATATAAAGCTGCTTGGCAAACAAACAATAGGCGAAGAAATTTTTTGAAAAACCTACAATGATACAGTCACAGTTTCGAACGCAAGGAATTACTCCTTTCTGAAATCCAGTTCGGTTTGTTTGCGCAAATGAAATCTATATGCAAGCAGTTTTGCAATATTTATACAGGCGAAAATCACTTCGTTAAATATTTCTCTGAGATTCAAAGACCATTTTCAGCTGATTTGTCGAAATCACGCAGTTCCGAAAAGTGTACTGATAATTTGGCAAATTACTCAATGCTGGAGAATAATTTGCGACCAAAACATTACTGCCCAACATTTACAAATATGTACATTACTTACCACCGTCGTCTTAATGTTTTAATGGTAGACTGCAGACTTGTGTATGTGTTATGGTCGGTTTGATGTGCTTTAATTTCCGATGCAACTGAGCGGCAGAGTCTGTACGTAGTTAGTTAGGAGAATGATCTTTAAAAAATATATTTTGAAAAGCGCTTTTATTGAGATTGGGGATGAGATCACTCCCGCCATAAACGTCACTACAATTTGGTTATGTTTATCTGGTTTCAGAATGGGGCAACATGGGAGTGGAGTCGCGCTCCTAAAGCATCGTTATAATGCATTGTCATCGGACTTCTTATGTCCAGTCCCAAAGCCAGGAATTAATCGTTGAAGGGCTAGAGGGGCAATCTAAAAAACTTTGATATTTATCTTTTTCTCAGCCAGTACTAGGCTAGTTTTTATTTCATAAAAATCCATCATGGTGGGATCGACGTTGAAAGATATTGCCCAATATCGTCCATTTTAGCCATTTAAACGTGTTCGATAAACGGACAAACGTCGTACGTCCAGGCCCGCTCTCTAGCGTTAGAAATTTCTGTTACAAGATGACGCGCCAACGTTAATTTTAAAACTGCCAAAGATTAGAATAAAATTATCGACGAAGAATAAAGACGTAGAAGCGAAGGAAAAAGAATCGAAAATTGTTTTCGACCGGAATTCGAAAGTAAACGGCCGAGACGTTCCATACGGGATACGTATAGCACGTGTCGCCTTCCACCAATCAGAAGGAAATAAATTTTGGGTGGGATAAACGCGGTTATTAGGGTTCGACGTTCCGTGATGAGAAAATGGAGAAGGACGTAATATTTTTATTCCTAATTATATCTTTATTATTTACGTCCGTTAAAGCAGGTGAGTCCAATGTTAATCGAATAAACAGTTTGGTAAAATCATTTCGGTATCGAATTCGTATCGATTTTAACGTCGGGGCGTGTAAGGTTAAGTCGTCGTAATGGTCTATGGGCGCTGTCCCTTTCTCCATCCGATCGTTATTCCGATCGATACCAATGGAAACTGTCGAATTTACTCATTTTCTCCATAGCAATGTATAAGGACTCCGTCTTCGTCGGTCGTCTCCGGTTCGAATCGCATGTTTTTATGTTAAGAAGAAACGGACGATCGATATCGATCGCCTTCCGGTGAGCGCCTTTTGTAAATCCCCTACCTGTGACATATTCCGAGTTTTTACCATGTTGTTGTTCTCGCCGCGTCCTAATTCGACCTTTCCCATCTTGTAAGCCGACCCCACGTTAACAAATGTCACACGCATCCCATAATTGTCGTAAGGATGTTCGTAATAATCGCGCTTCGATAATAAATTTACAAATTTATTCGAGTATACGGGAAATTTTCAGAGAATGACTAATATAATAATGGGGAAGAAAAAACAAACAAATGACATATTAGTACAATGTTTATTTTATTATTTTTTTAATTCTATGTTCTGGCGTAATATGATAAATCTATCTGAAGGTTCAAAGAACTGAAAATATTTTAAAATCCTTTATTCAAAATGAAGTGTCTTTGGTATTGTTAAATACGTCGAAAATGAATATTTTAAAAAAGTTTGAAAACGATATTCGAACACGTTAACTTGTGCGTTTTAAAGTTGATTTCGGCCCGTGCCGGTGCGGTCTTGGGTGAACATTTGACGGACACGTGTTCCTTAAATTGCCTCCTGTCAAAAAAGTACTGCCGAAAATTTAAAGGCGGAGAAAATTAGAATTGTGTACGAAAACGTTTAAAAATTAAATATTTTCCTTGTTTCGAGGAATGGTTAAATATGCTTTCTTGGTGTGGCTGTGCCGACGACATAAAGTTGTGTTATGCATATTCTGGGATGTTTGACAAATTCGAAGATTGTGGTTTGCCGTTTGTCTAGAGAAACTTCTCGAACTTTAGCATTCTTTTTTGGTCAGATTGTGTGTGACTCGGGGATGTGAGGAAGACTATCTTGCAAAAATTTACTTTTAGAACCTGTTTGTTTTTTTTCTTTTTCTTTTTGTTTTTTTTGGTGTTTTCTGTATGAAGATACCAATTATTTCTTATACAAATAAAATCTCTCTTGAAATTTGTTTTGTATAAATCAATTTGATAAAATATTGCAAATTTTTAATAACTCTTTTAGTTGCATTAATAAGTGCTGTGAATAAAAGTCAGTATCTGTTAATCAGGATATCCTTCTTTACAAATCTTGTTGATTGTGTTCTTAGACTTAGTACAGTACAATGTTGAACCCTAACTACATAGTTTAATGATAATGTCAGTTTATTTTGAATTTTTATACATTAATAGAATTGTGTTGTCCTGAGAAAACATTGGATGCATGTTCACAGGGTGTTGGGTGCCTGCACATTGGACACTTGGGACATGTCTTCCCCTTTGTTATTGGGTTGCCTTTTTCTTAATTCCCAAGGGAGATCTAAAATTTCATTTTATTTTTAAAATATTTTTATCACAGAAAATTTTCTACTGATGACAAAATTAAAATAAAAATATTTGTTAGTAAACAAAAATTTGTTATAGAGGGTCGTGATTGTTTGCTCAATGTGGTACCGGTACCACTGTATTTGATTAACATTATTTTGATATACATGGTAGCATTGAGGAATTAATCAAGGGATCCATGTGTGTGTGTATATTTTACATGTGTGTGTGTATATTACACTATATTTTATACTGTAATACCTGGTAATACTGTAATATTTTATACTGTATACCCTGGGTGCTAACACCAGCACCTCAAGTTTGTACTGCCACTGTGGAGATGTCACTGTCTATGAAGTTTTGTATGAGCAAAGTGCAACTTTATGGCGTGGTATTTGCAAAATGGCTTAAATGCATCACAATGACCTGTATATTTGTAATTACAGTATTGCAGAAAAACTGTGCAAGAAGTAATTTTATTTGTTTTCTGACCAATGTACAATACTGTACATAGTCTAAAGTCCAACCTAGATGTTAACAAAGTACAAAGGTTTTGTCCTGCTGAAAAAAGTATTAGGGTGGTATCCTGGTACACTCTGGCACAATTACAGCACTAGTTTAGACAAGATTTGTCATAATCTCTTTGTAAACAGTTGTAAAAAATATTAAAATAATTGAGATATATTTCTTACAGCTTCTGTCAAATGATGTGTTAAATTGTTAATACATGTTTTAATTAATCATATATTAGTAATACTAGAGAAATTATCTGCTGATATGTTTATAATAAATTAGAGTTCTTTATAAATATCTGTGATATCAATTGTTTGAGTATGTATTATAAAAAGATCATAAAGATTAAGATATATAAAAGGATGATGGATAGGTGTTTTATATTATTTAGTTTGTATTGCTGTTACACAATTTCTTTTTGAATATTTAAAATTTGTAATGCAATTGAATTTTCTTCATTACTATAAAATGTCTGTAAAGACTGGACTTGTATTCATTTAAATGGTATCTATATGTCATGTAAACACCATTTAAATGGACTCATACAGGAATAACTGCTGCTATTACTTGAGTCCTGACTGTTATTTTATATAAAATTATTTATTAGAAAAATTGAATTTGTGAGAATGTACTGTGTTCTTACTACTTACGGCATAAAAAAGGATAACAAATATAAAAGTTTTTAATTAATTAAAAAAAACACTGATTACTTTGCACCATTTGGTTTTTTGTTTCTGAAGTAAGCATTTGTTTTGTGTTCTAAAGATTTCCATACCTGCTGAGTTTATACAAATCAATAGAATATTAATAATGTAATGATTGATTTAATGTATTAGTGATAGGTAGTGATAAATATGGAAGAAAAATAGAATTGAAACATTCAGTTTACTACATTTATTCTTATATGACTGATAGACAATACAATGCTTGAGAATTTAAAAACATGATTTAAGAGCATGCTTGAAGAAGAATTAATAAACAAAAATACAGTAGAGTCTCGTATAACGTGCGGGATTCATTACGCATTATAGGAAATTGTGTTATCAAAACCTGCATTATCTCATGATTTATGAATGTTTAAACCTTGGCCTATAAGTTGAAAAAAAAAAGTATGCCTATGATTGACAAAATTCAAGGGTGTTGCTTGCTTTATTTGCACATTGTATGGGACTCTACTGTAATTCAGACAAAATATTTGTTAAAACAATATTGGGGAAAAATTTTCTGTATCATTTTAGCTAATTTTACTAAAAAAGTTGTAGCAAACTTTTAGATGCATTTCTCATTTGTGAGGCTGTTCAGAAAAATGAAAATACATTGTTTAAATATTTGTTTATTCTTGTAGATACGGTACATTATTACACTACCAATGTAACCATAAATCTATTGTTACAACCCGTAAGTATCATACGTTATTGAACAAATCTTGGGTTTGATTCACACCAGGCAAAAAATGCTGAATGAAAATCAAATTTCCATCTTGCTGGGGCCATTTATGGAGATGTTTGACAACATGATGCTGACATTTTTTACATCAAGACAGTTTCTAATTGGAGTTTTTGTTAATTTCATCTCATTGAAACCTCTTTCACACTCAACAGTGTGCACTGAGCGTGAAAGAAGAAATTCAATAACTGTTGCCATCCCACTGGCATTGGGTTTGCTTGACTGGCAATTTCAAATTGAGGACAGCAGTCAACAAAAATATTTAAGTGTCGTCAAAATTTATATTTTAAACAAAATTATATTTTGATTGAAAAATATTATATAAAATTATTTTTAATATTTAGTATGTTTACTTATAATTATAAAATGCTAGAATGACACCTTTAAATTGTTTTAGAAAAAGTATTTATTTGTTTAAACAAATGCTTTTTTCTTTTTACAGGTCTGTGTCAGGTTTAACAAGAAGATTGAACTGTTTAAGAAGACAGCTTGAATCTTTTTGTGAAACCTGATGCAGACCTATGAAAAGGGGTTGAAATGTTCTTTTATAGAAATTAAAGTCTTGCTGAAAAAGTATTTAAGGTGATATTCAAACTAAATTAGTTTTAGCTTATATACAGTAGAAGTGTTTTTTAATGATAAAACGACTTTCCCATTATAACTATGAAAGTGGTGGTGTAATACGTTAAATTTTCAAACTCAATTTGCACGAATCTAAGTAAAAATAATTGTTCACATTATGTTTACTGCCATTTTGAGTTATAACAACTTATTTTTCAAGATGAATCAATCTAGGCATTTGTTGATTCTACTTTTCCTCGAATAAATACATGCAATTGTACATTTAGGAAAACCTGGCTCGATTGAATGAATTCAAAACTTGGTTAACTTGTGATGGTGATATTTGTTCAGCTTGTTGCATCATTTGCTGAACTTCATTTAGTGTTAAATTTGATGGAATTACAGCATTTACAAGGCATACCGTTTGCAAGAAGTATTAAAAAAGAAGTGCATCTTCTCATTTATATTTTCCCTCTCTTGGTGGTTTTGTCAGCCAATAAAACAGTTTTTAAAGATTGTGACCTTAGATGATACGATGGAATAGTTTTTTGAGTAAAAGGAAATTAGTTGTAATTTTGTTGAGGGTAGTGTTGCAATATTAACTTTATCTGAAATAAGATTACAAATTTATTTTGTAGTACATAATATAAGCATGTGTATTCACATATAAATGGATAATTTTCGGGTTTCTGTCAGAAGATTGATTTTGAATTTCCCAATCTTAAGCTTGATGTTTATTAAACACTTGGAAAATATTAGTTTTTTAGCAAAATGAGCCAAGAAAGTTGTTGCTAAATCTAGATTCCTGTAGTGTTTTAGCAAAAAAACTAGCAACATCTGAAACTCTAATACAAATACATTGTAATCATTAAAATTTTATGATATTTTTGGTTTTAAGAACAGCCTAAATTCTCTCCAGCATTTCCAATCAAGATTTGAATAACATCATGACCAATTGGTAGAGATGTACATGACTTATCAAACTGTAATGGAGCCAAGGAAATAGAGATGACATCAAAAAAAGAAGACTAATTTTACTCGTCTAATGCATTTCATTCTTCACTAAACCCTCTTCAGCCACTATTACATGAATACATATACCTACAACAACTGAAGAGAAGCACAAAGCTTCAAGTGCATTTTGCAAAAAAATGGATAAGTAAAGTTTGTTGGTCAATAAAAAGATGATTTGAAAAAAAACCATTACATTGCTAATCTTCATCTTGAAGACAATACAACATGGTTCTACATTAAAAATAAAATAATTAGTTTAAAACTCAAATATAATTTTTAAATTCAGTATTTACAACAGTAAAATTTTATTAGTATATATTAAAAAATTACCATTAGCCTATTCAAAATCTCAGTTAACTTGATTAGAGAAAAGAACCTAGTACAAGAAAACATCTTAATCAGTGCCAAATCAATTAATCACTTCCAGTTCAATAGCTACACATTTACCAGCAGAAGTGAAGACTAACTTGCTGTGTCTTCACTTCTTCACTTCATAGGGTTCATATGGAGATTTCAGTCTCGTGGGCTATGTTCTTTGATTGGCCTTGCTATGTCAGTTTGAGAGTTACCTTTTATATATTGTTAATTTGCATATTGAACATGCTTAAAAATATAAAATGTTTATTAACTTGTGTATCTGCTAATATCTGGTTACAAAAATATACTAGAATATTATTTAATAATTTAGCTGTATTTAAACCCTAAATTAGTGGGATACAATTCCATTGATTATTTTTATTAGTGTGAAATTATGAAAATTAAATGAAGCTCTACTTGGGAATGGTTGTGATAGCAATTGAGGTTTAACATAATTCAATCGCTAAAACTCAAAATAACTGAAACAAAAAGCAAAATAAGTAAGTAAATAAATTTAACTATTAATAAAAATTTTGTCTTTTATTGAAAAATGGCATAAGAGTCATTGTTAGAAAAGGCATTCAGGAATTGATAGAAGTGAGAAACATCAGTGATGTAATAATAAAAATAAGAGTGAAATTTGTGAGAGGAGTTAATGATTTTATCCAGATTTATGCCTCACAAACAGACAGCTAAGAAGAATTGTTGGTAGAGGTCCTAAGGGAAATAGAAGAAGTAATTGAAGACAAAGTCGTAATTATGGGTGATCTAAATGCACAGGTATGGAAGGAAAGAAGTAGAGTGAAAGAAATTACGGGCCCATTTGGATATGGCAACAGAAACAAGAAAGGGATTGATTGATTTTCATGTGAATGAAATGGGATGCTAGTCAGAAATATCTCGTTTAGGAAGAACAATTCACAAAAGATAACTTGATATGGGTGGGGTGAAAGGAGAACAAAGACTATGATTAATTACTTTGTGATTGAAAAGCTGAGCCACAGAGACTTTTTGGATGTGAAAGCAGATCTAAATGAAGCTTTTGATGAAAACCGTAGATTGGTCATTGCAAGGATTAGTGTTGGAGCAAGAGCAAAAATGAAGAAAGTAAGGGAAAGGAAAATAAAGACTACTTATGGAAAAGAGTTGGAAATACAACACTTAGTAATGACTAACATGTGCTTTCTCAATATCTATAAAAGTCTCCCAAGACAGATGATGTGGGAGGCCCTAGAGAGTAAAGGCATCTCAGCAAAAATTATAAGTTAGATACAAGCAATGTATACCACAGGCCTAAGTTGTTTCAAAACAGAAGTTGGGAAAACATAGTGGCTTGAAGTAATGACATGACCTCGACAAGGAAGTGTTTTGTCTCTACTTCTGTTTATAACTACAAAGGATGAAATCCATAAGAATGTAAAAAAAGCTTAATGGGAAGAAGTCAAGAGCTTGGCTAATTGCAAATGACATGATACTGATGGAAGACACAGAGGAAGTTTAATATCAACTGGATGTGTGGAACAAGGAGCTAAAGAAATGGGGGATAAAGGTAAGCTGAAAGAGAAGCAAGACAGTGGCTATGTCAAGGAGAACTCAGGAGGTGAGAGGGAAAATCAAACCAAATGGAAAATTACTAGAAAATATTGACGGCTTTAGATACCTGGGAACAGAAATATCAAAGGGTGGAAAGTTAAAAGAAATAAGTAGAAGAATACAGCAAGCAGAGTATGAGAACTTTGATCTGGAAAACAGAAGAGCCACAAAAATGTAAGGAGATGCTTTATCAATTGTACTTTCTCCCAATATTGACTTATGGGGTTTCAGCATGGATTACCTTATGGAGAGGAGACAAAAGATCCTGGCATTAGAAATTCCTCAGGAGCATACTGAGCAAGATCAAAAGAGATAGAATAACAAATGAAGAAATAAGGAAAAGAACAGTAATGGAAAATTTGGAGAAGATAGAACAAATTAGACTGAAATGATTTGAACATACAAGAGAATGGAAGAAAATAGAATACCAAAGTTGGTGTTGGAGAAGATGGAGAAGAGAAGACCTAGAGGAAAACTCAGGAAGTGGTGGATGGACAAGATAGTTGAAGATCTAAGAAAAAGGACTAATGATGTAACAGTGGTGTTTGCAGAGGAATGGCAGAAAGATAGAAAAAGATGAATTTTGAATTTATTTTTAAAATAATAAAATTCTAATATTTTATTTAATTTTATTTAGGTGAATGCAATACTCCAACCCAGGCTTCACTGGATAAGGGCAGAGAAGAAGGCGGCTTAACACATTTTATGTTTCTATAAGTCTAAGTAGTTTTGAGATCACATTTAATTAAGTCAAAATGTAAGATCCAGAGTTTTATTTCATGTCAAATTCAGTGTGCTTTCTTTGCTTTCATAAGAAAATTGAGGATTGTTATTATATGGAACTGTGTCTTTGATTGTTAAAATTTTGAATTTTATGTTGTACAGAAGTATATTGTGCCTGAAGTAATGATCTTATTCTTAAATACAAATTGACTGATCAAATTTTAGCATCTTGAAATTGTTATTTGGAAATTTAAAAATGTAATGATCATATCTGTGAGTTATTACTAGTCAGATTTATGAATTTTTATATATATCTTTATTTGGAACTAAACATTTATACCATATACATGTTACTGTAAAGTTTGAATAGCATGTTGACATTCCTTTGCTATTGGTGACAAGTTAATTTGGTAGTGATAAATTTATAAGTCAAGAATTTTAAATAATTTTATTAGATATAGAATACCTTATTTATTCTAATAGTAATTATATTGTTTATAATGTTTTAGTATATAGGTATACTGTATTTATTGTAATAGAGGATGTCCTAATACTAAAATATAGCATTTACATTTTCAATAGTTACATAAATTTTATATATATGTTTTTTATATACTTATTTTTAATGTTTATTATCATTATCATACAATTACAATTAACTTTAAACTTTTTAATGAATCCACAAGTTTTTTGAACCTGTTTACTAGTAATGCTTTATCACAATTTAAGCAATAATACTATAGAAATTAATTTTTAAAATAATAAAATTCTAATATTTTAATTAATTTTATTTAGGTGAATGCAATACTCCATTATTAGACAATGCAAAGTTGACAGCTACTTCTGAAGCAGATGTAGATCGTAGTGCTGATAAAGGAATATTACATGGTTAGTATTAAGCAAAATAAATATATCTTCTTTGACAATCTTTTGTGCATGTAATAAAAAATAATAATAATAATAAAATAGTTGATATTTCAGTAAAAATTTGATAAAGTGATTCCTTGATTATTGTTTGAATTTCAAATTTTTCTGATAAATTAATCAATTATTTTATTTCAGAATAAGATATATTTGTTTTTGAAATTGCAGGTTATTTTAATTATTTTTACTGAACTATTTGGATATGTTGTAAGCTTTATTTACAAATTGCTATTCAATTTTCTTTAAATTTGATTAGATTTATATAATAAATTTGTTGAAAATGAGGAGACAGATTTTGTTTGTTTTCATCAAAGCTGTAAATTGTCAAAATTTAAAAGCCACTAAACAATTCTTATCTAATTATATAACAAATGGATAAAGGCAATTTGTGTTTTAAGCTAAAGCAAATCTGACATTTTCTTCATCTGAATTTATTGTAATCTTGATATATGAAATTCACTTTAACACATTTCTACTAACACAATTAAAAATATAGAAGAAATTAAATCATCTTCACATTTCTGTCACTTAATGATTAATTGGTAGAGGAGCTAATTAGTATAATTAATGATGAGAAACGATTAATTGGTACATCTCTAGTTAGTACTTGCTATGTCCCAAGCGAAAAATCTGGTTGATGTCCAATGAAATTCCTTAACTGGGATATGCATGAAGCCCATCATGTTTCTAAGTTAATTGTCTTGTAGAGTTTCTATTGATGTTACCTCATAAGGATGGCATATTGGCTGTCGGGTGTCTAACAATTTTTAACTTAAATATGGTTTTGTGACAATTGAAATTAGAAAAATGAAGAAATGTTTTTCCCCCTTTTTTTTTCACTTAAAATGTTCTTGAAAAGCCCAAAATCTTTGTAATGAGTCATAAATTTTTAGGTTACAAAACAATTGTTGATTTTTGAGACTTTTTAAAATAAAGATAAACATTGTTGTGAATAAATCTCATAATGAGATTGTTTGCTGAAAAAAGTTCAAAAGAACATTTTTAAAATGTAAACAAATGTAGCATTCCTGTCTATTGAACTATAGACTAAAATTAAAAATAATATAAAATTATATGAACTTTGTATTGATATTATATTTATGGTATATTTGAATTTTATATTTTGGGAGTATCGCTTGCTCTTTACACATGATAAAATGACAAAACAAAGTAAAATATTAATTTCTTAATGTAGAAAGTATATTTTCAGATTCAAAGCATTCAACATTAAATTTTATATAAATATTTGACATAAATCACTTTGATGAAATATATTTTTCAATATAGAATGAAGTATTGTGTTTTCTGATGTATAAGATGTTTTGATATATAGGATGCCATTGTTTTTCATGAACATTTTTTAAGAAAAAATTACTGAAAAGTTATAGATTGTTGATCAATTTTATATTTTTTTCTTAATACATAATTCTTTTATACAGATATTCTCTGAATATATTTTCAGTCAATGTATTATCATATATCAAACACACAGCTGGATTCCTTTATTGGACTATTGAGGCAAAATTATTACTAAGTAATTTGGCAAGAGGTAGACAGTCAGGCTGCCATCTGTTGTTAAATGAAATAATTATAAATTAATTTAACTTTAGAATATTCTGGAAGAAAAGATTGATTCAAAGTAGGATTTAAACCCACAACTGCTGCTTACTGTGCAGATGCATTGTCAGTTATGCTATCCAGCCCTCTATTTGATTTTTACTTCCAGACTAGTTAATTAAGTAATTAGTCTGGAAATGGGAATCAGATGGAGATCTGCATGGTAAATAGAAATTACAGGTTTGAGTCCCGCTCTGGTTTGATCTTTTCTTTCAGAATATTTTAAAATTAAATGAAATTTATTTATAATTGTTAAATTTAATAAGAGATGGTTATCAAACTGTCTATCTTCTGCCAAATTACATAGTAATCATTTAGCCTTAATAGCCCAATAAAGGAAACCAGCTGTTCATTTGATGTATGATAATAAATTGACTGAAAACAAATTTAGAAAATTTTTGTTTTACACAAAAATTCTCCAAATTTGTTTTCTCAAAAATCTACTGTGAATATAGGATTACGGTAATGATTTTAATCTTTATCTGTATCTTCTTAGCTGGACCAAATTTTCTGAAAGGTCTTCTGTATTTGAATCAGAATCACTGCTTTCTTTAGAAAGTAAATCATTTTCAGTGCTATCAAGGGCATTCTTAATTGCTTCTTAAATGACTTAATTAATAACCTTTTCGTTGCATTCTATGAAGTGTTAACTCATATACAAACATCTGAAATTTCAACCTTCAGCATATAAGATGCATTCTGGTTTTGAGATGAATTTTAGGGGAAGTTAGGAAATACATTGGGAAATATGGTAATTCATTTCAAATTTTGAATTCAATTCTAAGTTTAATCTTTGAATTTGAAAACACTTATTTAATGTTAGTTTCTATTAATATATTGAAATTTGGATTTTGATTTTATTAATTAACTAGAATATTAGGATAATATTTTTTTCATTTGGGAATAAATACTGGGAAATATGAATTTTTACATTTAAAATACAATTTGGTGCAAAAGTCTTGCAATACTTTATAAAAACATATTTTTTGATTTTGAATCCATTTTGAAAATATAATGTATCATTTTTGAACACAAGTTTGTAAGGAATTTATAACTTTTTTACAGAATTAAAGTAGCATTGTTTTACAAATGGGTGGGCTGACAGAAATTGCAAAGCTAACATAAACATTTTTTATTTCTTGTTAACTACAAGAAACTTTTTAAATCAGGAAAAAGAAAAACTATAAAACTGGAATTCATTAAAGTTTTTACATGTTGTTAATCAGCATTTGATATGTTTGAAGATATACAAATAATATTTAATTGGGAAGCCTTTACTTTTAATTACTAAAGCACATCTTCTGGGTATACTACTAACAAGCTTTTTCAAGCTCTTCCTCTAATATTAGATGATACCAGCATGGAATTAGTTTCACTTAACTGTACTTTATATGCTTGATTCTTTGTATTCATCTTCTGTTTCAGTTTCATCCAAAAGACTTTGATCCAAAGGATTAAGATCTAAGATTGTGCATATATTGGGCAGCACTTTCAACAATATGCAGCTTATGCACTCCCATGAGCTGAGATGCATCCTCAGATGCTAATGGCAATAGGATACTGTTTTGAATAGTTTTGATCCTGTCATTCTTTTGTATTGGACAAAAGTTGCTTCTTTGGATATCAAAGAGATTGCTATTTTATCACTCCGGATGATCTTACATCACTGATTCCTAATCTATTATCCTTCAACTGTACACCTGCTGTAAACACTTGGCCCTCTGTTTTTTTTTTTTTTTATTANATTGACATTATGTTTAAGATTTTGAATCTTGAATACTTTTTAATATTCATAGATTTAAATATAAAAATTCACAGATGGTATTTGTCCATCTCTAATTTGTACTTGTAAGTTGTAACCATATTATATAACATATATAGTATAATCTTGGTAATCTGACATATATTGGACTGGAATACTGTCAGTTAAGGAGATTGCCAGATTATTGGAAGTAAGGTGAATTGAATAGCGCACAAAGAAAGTTAACAGTGTAGAGTTAACTATTAATGTTGCAGTAAAACAGAAGATGGGCTACTGAACAAAACATCTGATTGTGTTGTTGCTGTTAATTATTATTGCGAAGTTGGTGGATTTCCACTAAATGTAGTGGAAAATTTCAAGGGACTAATTTTTTATTTATACTGTATTTTGTTATAAGAAACTGCATCTTTTTTAAACAGCATAAAATGAAAAGCCTAACAATATTTAATAGCATACCCAAGGCCAGACTAAATATCATGTTACTTAATGTCACTCATGTCATTTAATGGAAAGGTGTTCAAATTTATTGGGAACTGGAATTTGAACTAGTGGAAAGTATGTGTGACTTATTGCCAGAGCCAGTAATACCAAAGAGTCGTCAAATGTTTATTGAGAGAAGTCAGATATACAGATGAAAACTGGTTGGAAATTATCTGAATTCCAGAGATTGTTATTCTCTTCCTTTGTCTTAGAAATTTGCTTTACAAGAACTAATATAAGCTTTATTTATTTTTTATTTTTTGAATTAATTGTTATTTTATGTTAACTTTCTATTGCAATTTATATGTATCTATGAAAGTTGATATAACCACTTATATCATATATATAATTTGCCATATAAATTTAATTTCCTATTTAAACCTTGTAATACATTCAGTTTTTATCTTAGTCCTTTTTAGAATGTTCTTGATATGTAACCAGAGGATGACTTGTTAAATGGTTGAAATGTTTGTTCAAAATGCATAATCTTTTCACTATTAAGATGTTTAGTGAAATTAGTTTTGTTTTTATAATATTACAATAGAGCATCGTTTATCCGAATCAATTGGGAACTGGGGTTGTTCGGATAACTTATTTTTCGGATAACCAATTACACACGAAAAAATATATTAACCTATCCCGTGTTGAAAATTTTGTCCGTTGCGTGTCGCTTTGTGTTGAATTTTTGTCGATGTTAAGCCTAACATAAACTTTTTAAAATAATAATCATGGCTATTGTATCGTTAAAAATTATTTCTTTAGTTTGTACAAACAAAATAAATATATTGAAAAATATAAAAACAATGAAAAAAAGTATACTTCAGAAGTTAATTTAGTATCAAAAACGTAAAATATTTGAGTAGCCAAAGATTGCAGCGCCACAGCACTGGCGAAAATTTAAATTTGCCGACTGGAATTCTGTCAAATAACTGACTTTTGGATAAACGATGCTCTACTGTAATCTCATACAAGTGCATTTTTGCATACTGACATTGGAATGTCTCTTCTAGCCAGCAGATTTATGACTGAAATCATCTTCAATATTAAATGCTTTTATGTATCTATTAAATTAAAGCATAAAATAATTATGTATAAAAACTGTTAT